ATTTTATTTTATTTTATTTTATTTTATTTTATTTTATTTTATTTTATTTTATTTTAATTTAATTTAATTTAATTTAATTTTAGAGTTTATTTTGAGAGAGAGAGTGAACGAGCTAGTGCGAGTTGGGGGGGCACAGAGAGAGGGAGAGAGAGAATCCCAATCAGGCTCCGCGTCGTCAGCACAGAGCCCGACTCGGGGCTCGAACCCACGAACCAAGATCATCACCTGAGCTGAAATCAAGAGTCGGATGCTTCACTGACTGAGCCACCTAGGCACCCCTGGGAAGGGATTTTAAAGGAAGAATCAGAGAAATGTCTGAACTGGAAGGAAGGCCATGGCCCCCCATCCTAAGCTCCAGTGCCCCCTGCAGCGCTGTGGGGGGCCAGCCAGCCCCAGCTAGAATACTTTATTCACAGAGAGCACGTGTGACCAGCTAGTCTCTGTAACACACCTTTGCTCACTGATGACTCTTGTGTCAAAGGCAGAGAGGAAATATTTCATGCTCTTTGAAACAGGTCTTCTAATGAAACAGAATCCCTTTCCATGATCTAGGCCAGTGTAGGGGTGCGGGCCTGGCGGGAGGAGAGACCTAACACTTTGTTTCCCTGGGACTTCATTGTAGGGGCCTCTCTTTCTCTCTCTTTCTGCCTCCCCCCCAAATAAAAAAAATAAACTTAAAAAATATTACACATTATATTTTATGACTGCATTGGTATAAAGATGAACATAATTTAGGCAGATTTATTATTATATTTGTTGCTATCACATTCATTTTTTCTCTTCTGACTTTAGAATAAATAGAGTGAAAACATTCTCATGGATCCCTAAAAATGTCCCGGCTCCTAGGCACAGTGACTCCTGTGCCTACGGGTATGGTGACCGGGGCCCCAGCTACTCCAGCTCTCTCCCCCTTATCCTTCACAGCCATCACAACTCCTCCCCAGCTAATCCACGGTTAGCGTCTTCTTCTTGGAGGACCCAAACTGACACAGTCCTGAAGAGGGAAATCATTCCCCTCGAGGGTGAGGAGCGTCTCCAAGGCCTCCAGGAGACTCTCGGTGAATCCAGGAGACCTCACAATCCACTTCCAAGTGTTTTTTCTACTTGTGGAGCTCACGGTAACTGATTTAGAGGAATGTCTCCCACCCGGTCCCACTGTGAATCCATTTTCCTCACAGTTGACAGGTCTCTGATAGCTTTCTTCTTCCTCTTTTTAATGTTTAGTTATTTGAGAGAGAGAGAGAGAGACAGAGAGAGAGAGAGAGAGCGCGCGCGCGTACACGCACGTGGGGCTCACAGACTGTGAGTTCATGACCTGAGCCGAAGTCTGACGCTCAGTCGACTGAGCCACTGAGGGCGTCCCTGATAATCTTCTTTAAAGGCTAGTTACTCACCTGCTGTGTGCACAATATTTTAAGCCCTGGGTTTGCTGCTAAAGTGCTTCATTAACAACTCATGTACAAGACACTCAGCTGAGTGAGCCACAGTCACATTTCGGATCCAAATACCATCCGGTAAACACAATGTGATGTGCCCACAGTGAGTCAGAGAGGCTGCTGGTACTAAGACCAGGACTGCTGACACGGAGTCTCCTACGGAGCCGCTAGACTAGACCACATTCTGCTGCCTTCCCCGCCCTCCCCTCCGTCATTCAGTTGTTGCCAAAGTTGGGTACTATTTACTGACAATCTGAGAAAGACTGTTTCTCACTGGGAAACAAAAGGTACCTGGCTCATCATAAGTTTATCATCTCAGTCGAAGGGTGGGGATAGTCCAGAAGTCACCAGGTGTTTGCCCCAGGAGGCCAGGCTCAGGGTGTATCATCCTTCCTACCCTGAGGAAGAGCAAATGTTTGGGTGAATGCAGGCACCATTTTGTGTACCCTTCGGAGGAATGGAATGAAGAAGGTATTCTTGGACAATTATGTCTCTGGTGGCTGGTATTATGAGAATTTTCCTGCCCAGTTCAATGAGGCCAGCCCTTCTGTCTGGCCCAGGGTTCTAGGGCCTCCAGAGAATACCTAGGAGAGGCAATTTTATCAGATCCTTTAAGGGTGAGTAGGTTGTAACTAGGTACCGATAGACCCTCGATGTACAGACCCTGTAACTAACCAAATCACTGGGGATCCTGCAGGCCAGGCAGATTTTTTTTTTTTAATTTTTTTTTTCAACGTTTATTTTTGGGACAGAGAGAGACAGAGCGTGAATGGGGGAGGGGCAGAGAGAGAGGGAGACACAGAATCTGAAACAGGCTCCAGGCTCTGAGCCATCAGCCCAGAGCCCGACGCGGGGCTCGAACTCACGGATCGCGAGATCGTGACCTGGCTGAAGTCGGACACCCAACCGACTGCGCCACCCAGGCGCCCCCAGATTTTTAAGTATTCAAACTTTTACTGGGTATGAAAGAGTCCACAAAGGGGCCATGAGTTCTCCATACAATTGAAACTTGAGAAGGTCACCGCTACCCCCTAAAGTCATTGTTGCTTTGCCACACTCAGACTGCAAGCCGGTCTATCCTTCCCTAATTCTCGTTTATACACAAAGAGGCTGCAGCTTCTAGGGAAAAAAAACAATTTCTAATTCTGTCGAAAGATCACAATCTTGGTGATGCCAGCCCAAGTCCCCCTCTGAGATCACGCTCTTAGTGAAGGCACACATATCCTTGCTTTAAGTGTACTTTCTTCCTTTCATGCAGCATCCCTCTGTATATTAGCTCAGCAGCCCATGTGGAACCAGTGGCCCCTGAGAGGTAGCCATTTTCCCTTGAATTAGGAAAAAAAAAACAACCTTGAGGGCAGTTCCTGAACTTTTATTTTCAAACAGTCTGGCTAACCAGCATGCCATAAAAATTGCCCTTGGCTTGGCTCCAATGCCAAGGCCTCTGACTCAGCTGTGATTCTGCCTTGTTGGCCACATTTGTGCCCCAGTCGCGGCGTCTGTAACCATGTCATGTTGTCTGGACAGGCTGTCTCCTGGGTAAGGGGGAGAGCGTGGTCTGAAGAAACCCAAGCCAGCTGGAAACACCCACTGGTCTGCTTCCACTGTGAGGAGAGAGCACCCAGAGACAGGAAGTTATCATGCCTGCTCTCCCCGTCTACAAATCCAACACTGATCTTCACGGGTCCTTGGTTGCAAAGGTTTGGGTAAGTTTTACTATATTAGAGTCAGACGCTAGTCTTTCGATACAGCTTCCAGAGATGACGCAAGTGTAATAAATGAGTATAAAGTGGGATGTCGCCCAGTCTCTGCTAAGACCTCAGTGCCAAGAACAATGGGTGACAAGTACCTTGATTCTATGGTGTCAGAATAGGCTCCTTTTTGGTATCCCTGGCATCTAAGGAGGCACCACCAGATTTATTCCGTCTCTCCCCTTCAGCCTGAATATATGAGGCCAGAGGAGGATGGGAGGGGTCACAGACAGAGTCTCTTTGAAGACAGGTGTCCCGGCACTAGCCTGTCATGTGTTTTATTTTGACTTCTGAAGGGAAGGGCAAGGGATTGCTTCCCCTTTCTTGTCTTGGTCCAAGAGATGGAGATCCCGGAGACAGAGCAGAGGAGGGGAACTACCGTCCAGCCTCACCCCTGACCCGTGCTTGCTCCTGGTTCTTGTATTGCCCCGCACCTCAGCAAGAAGGTGCTCAGAGTTCTTGGGAGAACTCGATCAGTGATAACTGGGGTTTGTGGGGTACAGAGGCTGGCACCTGACTCTTGACAGATACACCTAAGGGCGAGATGTCTGCGGACAGAGTGGAGAGAAAGGACTTGGTTGCCAGTGAGCTCTAACTTCCGGAGTTTGGTGGGGCAAAGATGTGAGTCTTGCCTTAGCCTAATGGGTGACTCAGAAGGCGCTGGGTTAGAATGTCTTGAAAGGAACTCGTCTCAAAAGGATTGTACGCAGGGTGGTAACTCCAACAGACGGGGGGCTGGGGGGAGGGAGGTGTGTACCATGGCCTACAGGTGCTAAAGGGGATTCTTAGATGGCAGCCAGCGAGTGCATCACCTCTGTCTGGGAATAGTGAAGTGGGATTCCCCACCGGCAGTGAGAGGAATGGGCAGCATTGGTCACCGAAAATCCTCTGTCCCCTGCCTTTCCTTTTCTGTTGCCCTGTCACACCTCCTCTAAACCCGGAGGGGCCAAGGCAGCACAGTGAGAGGGAGAAGAGGAGGGAAGAGCAACGGAAGTGTGAGGAAATGAAGCACAAACCCTTCTCTCTATGGTGCTACCGCGCTTTGGTCTGGGGGGAGATTTGAGTCGGGTGAGATGCTGGAGTTTTGACTGGACCGAACTTAACTCTTGAAGAGGAAGCTGTTAGTGAATACTTGAAAGCGACCAGGAAGCTAAGGGAAGTCATCCAAGGGCAGGGAAAGGCGAATGAGCAGAGCTCACACAAAGGCAGGGGTGAGAAAATTAACAAAGCTGCTTCCCTACTGAGAGATTAGGCAGGGAACCAATAGATCAATGCAGAGAGTAAATGGGTCACACCATTAAGATGATGCTTCAGCTCAGTCTGAACTGAAAGGAGAAAAGGGGGCCATGAATTATAAAAAGATGATCCATCCATCTCAAGGTCTTGAAGGTCATTCTGACCTTAATTTAGGTTTTGAAACCTTGCTCAGCTCCTAGAGTAGCACTGCGTATGATTTTTAAAATCTTAGCAAAGTTCACCTGGGTGGCTCAGTCAGTGATTGACTTCGACTCAGGTCATGATCTCACAGAGCACATCAGGCTCTGTGCTGGCAGCTCAGAGCCTAGAGCCTGCTTCAGATTCTGTGTCTCCTCACTCTCTGCCCCTCACCCCCTCTCAAAAAATAAACATTAAAAATTTTTTTTAAAATCTCAGCAAATGGAAAACAGTATGGAGTTTCCTCAAAAAAACTAAAAATAGAACTACCCTACAACCCAGCAATTACACTACTAGGCATTTATCCAAGGGATACAGGTGTGCTGTTTCGAAGGGACACATGCACCCCCATGTTTATAGCAGCACCATCAACAATAGCGAAAGTATGGAAAGAGCCCAAATGTCCATCAATGGATGAATGGATAAAGAAGGGATGGTATATATATGCAGTGGAGGATTACTCGGCAATCAAAAAGAATGAAATCTTGCCATTTGCAACCATGTGGATGGAACTGGAGGGTATTATGCTAAGTGAAATTAGTCAGAGAAAGACAAAAATCATATGACCTCACTCATATGAGGACTTTGAGAGACAAAACAGATGAACATAAGGGAAGGGAAACAGAAATAATATAAAAACAGGGACGGGGACAAAGCATAAGAGACTCTTAAATATGGAGAACAAACAGAGGGTTACTGGAGGGGTTGTGGGAGGGGGGATGGGCTCAATGGGTAAGGGGCAGTAAGGAATCTACTCCTGAAATCATTGTTGCACTAGATGCTAACTAATTTGGATGTAAAAAAAAAAACAAAAAAAAAACTCAGCAAATAAACAGATTTCCCTCATGATTTTCCAAGCAATTATCTTCTTTTTTGCCAAGGCAGATAGGAAACAGTAATGATCTGAGCTGTCAGTAGGTTACCTCCTGAAAGATTTTGTTTTGTTTCACAAAATATTAACAAAGGAAAGAATCCATACATGATGAATCAGAATGGTGTAAGAAAAAGCAGGATAATATCCCATCCTCTCCAATATTCCCACGATGTCCCACTAGAGTTCTTATTGCGTTGTTTTAGCCATTGACCACCATGAGACAGAGTGCTCATTTGAAAAATCTGACTCAGGGTTTGGGGATAACTGTTAAAACCCATGGCCCAGTGAAGGAAAATTCATAGACGCATCATATTTGTCAGATATTATATTCACTCTTCCCTTTTCTTTTCTTTCAATTTTTTTAACATTTATTTATTTTTGAGAGACAGACAGAGACAGAGCATGAGCATGAGCAGGGGAGGGGCAGAGAGAGAGGGAGACACAGAACCTGAAACAGGCTCCAGGCTCTGAGCTGTTAGCACAGAGCCCGACTCGGGACTCGAACCCACCAACCGTGAGATCGTGACCTGAGCTGAAGTCAGACACTTAACCCACTGAGTCACCCAGGCGCCCCTCACGCTTCCCTTTTCTACAACACAAAGGCTGGAACCCTCCTGGGAAGATGTCCTCAACCTCTTGAAGTTTCCGAGCAGGTGCACAGCTGCCTTCACCCCTGCTGTTCAGTTCTGTGGTTTTCACCCAAGAAGCAAAGGCATAAGCTGCTTCTAGTAGATGAAGGAACATGAGATGAGTTGTTTGTTTGTTTGTTTGTTTGTTGAGCAAAATCTGCTGCTCTGGGTAGACATCTGAACTATTTAATCTTTACTTTGCTGCCCAAATTGATAGAGCTCAGGAAAAATCAATATACCCAGTAGAAGGCAAATGTAATAAGCAAGACAACCGTTCTCTTATTTAGAGCACCAGAGGGGTTTTGTTTCTACCCCAAGAGCAATTCAGGTCAAAACTTTGAGTCCTATGGGCAGAGAGCTGTCTATATATTTCAAGTAAAATATCTGAGAATCTTTAGAACTCGTCTGTTTTAGCTCCATTCCAGGTAGGAGGAAGCCTTATATAGGAGTCCAGGTGTGGGGAGTGTGAGTGTGTGTGTGCACGCGCGTGTGCATACATTTGTGTATGTGCACTGGGTGAGGATGAGACGGCTGTCTGGCAACTATTGGTCAAAAACATAAGTGTAGGGAGTGCCTGGGTGGTTCAGTCAGTTAAGCATCTGACTCTTGATTTCAGCTCAGGTCTTGATTCCAGGGTCGTGGGATCGAACCCTGTGTTGGGCTCTGTACTGAGCACAGAGCCTGCTCAGGATTCTCTCTCTCCCTCTGCCCCTCTCCCCGACTCGCACTCTCTCTCAAATAAAATAAAATACAATAAAATACAATACAATAAAATAAAATAATCAGTGTCAAAGCTCAAGAGAAATGGAAATGAAATAGCAGAGATCCAGGAGGAGCAAGTAGGATTAGGCACCCAGGCTTCCAGTTCATCACAAGCAGGAACATAATGTAGGTCTAGGAGCTACTCTGCTATCATCTTACGTCTCAGCATTCTCAAACACTCTCCAACTACTGAATGAGTACCCACTCTTATGCCTCTACACCTTTGCATATGCTATGCTTCTTATCGATCTAGCCAAATAACAGTTCTGAGATTTCTTCTTCTGGAAAGCTTTCCCTGAATCCCAAAACCAAGGTGATTTTTCACTTTTCTGTGGTCCCGTATCATTTATTTCACATCTCTGCTAGTCGTGCATCACTGTGCAAATTTACATTTGAATAATTTTAGAAATGCCATAATATACATTAACAAAGAACTGTAGTAAAGAAAGGCACTGAGAAGTCCTGAAAGAAAGAAATCTGTTGAACTTTCTTTAGCTCAGGGTTTCCCCTGTTTATTTTCCTCCAGTTACAATGAGTGGTGAATTTGGAGATTTTGATGGATAGCATTTAGGAATAAAACACTAGAACTCCAAGCCCGAGAAGTTGAGGGATCACCCAAAGCGGATAACGAGGTTTGGAGAACAAGTGTTCCGCTCCTTGCCTGGTCCTCTTTCTCTGGCCCTTGTTGACACAGATATGGTCAGCATGTTTCAGGGTCACAGATGAGAGTGAGGAAGTTCTAAGGGTGATGTACTCCTCAGAGGATGGATGACACTCAAGTGACACAGTCAAATGCATGACCCAACAGTAGGGCACAGATCTGATGCCTGTCCCAAGATATATGTGTTCTGAGCCAACTGGTCCCCACCATCGCTGAGGATGAAAAATAATGCGGGGCACCTGGCTGGCTCAGTTGGTGAAGCACGCGACTCTTATCCTGGTCTTGTGAGTCCCACACTGGGTGTAGAGATTATATAGAAAAAAGACAGATGATGTACTGAACAAGTAATCATTAGATCGTGATATTGATTACTCAATATCTGCCTCTGGAACTAATTTTTAAGTGATTTGGGAAAGATTCTCTAATATTTCCCCATATTTAAGTTTGGACATCTATGATAATGACACCAGGGATTATAGCAACTTTAATGTATTAGTCTTTCAAGATTCTCTCCACTCCCTGTACTGTATTCTTGAGATATGGTGGAATGTTATGTTGGTTGTCTTAACGTTTTGTTCTTCGAATGAACCCAGTT